TGTTTATCCATGGGTATCTGTCCTGTCATTGACATGTCTACATACAACAGACTGTCCACAAGAGGCCAGTACAAATAGTGGAGACTTGTCACCACTGGTGGGAAAAGGGGGAAACAGCTACAAGGGCACCGAGGACAAATTTGCCAGAACTATTTCCCTACTCCCCAAATTGATACTTTTGACAGAGGAATGTTAAATATTCACACAGACTCATTCAACAAATGTTTATTGGTAAAGTACTCTGCTAAAGCCAGCCATGGAGTTATTTGGATTCTGCCTTTAAGGAGTTTTTCGTCTGATAGGAAAGCTGTGGCATTATTATATGATATAAAGATTATATTATAGGCAGAAAGTGATACAGCTAAAAAGAAATGTACAAATAAAATGCTGTGGGAGTTCAGATTACTTTATTGAGAAATCAGAAATGAATCAAATTGTTTAAAAGTATGAATAAGAATTTACAGTGAGAGTGAATTTAAAGGTCAGCTAGTTTATCTGATTCACTTTATAGATGTAACAAACAGAGCCAAATACATTTTAAAAAGTGAAAAAGAAGATATACAGTTTAATTGTAGCAAAATTTGGTCTAAAATACTACAAGTCTCTGGATTTCTAGCCTGGAGCTATTTTCTCTACACCAAGTAGCTTTCCCCAATACCCTAAGAACATGTGGACCACAAATTGAATCTAAATTAGCAATCGCCAGGAAAGCTGTTTTTAAAAACAAAGATGACCATATTAATTGGAGAATGTCTTAGAAAAGACAGGAAAGAACTCTTTAGTTATATTTGGCGTGGACTTATTTCTTGTTATAAGAAACTACATCCAAAAGAGAGCTATAAAAATAAAGGAATAAGAAATGAGACCCTAAGAAAGGTTATGGAAATCAAAGTTATTTAGTCTGAAAAATCAATGTTAATGGGAGAATTCTTTAGCCTTCAGGGATCAGGAGGTCCCCAACCAGCTGTTCTCCATTTCTCTAGAAGGCAGAAAACCAGAGAAAATAGACTTGAGTATCAAGCAGGGAAGATGAAGTTAGAGGTAAGGAACAGGCCCCTGATCTGAAGGTCTGATCCTCATGGAGAACAGAAGCTGCAGGGTGCTGTGGCTAGCCTTTCTCTCTCAGTCTTTACACCTGGGAACCCACATCTTTCCCAGAAGTCCTACAGACCCACCTGCCTGGAAGTGAGGATGGAGCCTTTTAAAGACTCGTCCTAGATTTGCAAGATTATTCCAACCTCAGTGCTCCTGCTCTTTTGATCATATAAACTAAGGAAAACAGAAAGATTAAAAATAAAATGCTACATAGTATTTTCTGGCAATTAGAAAGAGAACGGGATCCAACATTTCCATGAGATGTGAGAGTCTCTGAACTGAAAGAGCTAATGAAAGATCTTGTTAAGCAAATGGTCTTTTTTTTTTTTTTTTTTTTTGGTCAAAGCTAGACAAGAAATTAGGAAGCAGCCATGCCCCTTTCTCAAGCCTGTCCATGGAATTTCCAGAGCCTTCCCGTTCCCACTCTCTCCTTCTCCCTCTCCCAGATTATCATTCCTCAAAACAGCTCTCAGTTGTTGATGAATCTCTGAACTATTAATTGAGAATGGCATAAGTCCTTGGTCTCAAAACCTGGGCATAGAATCATCCAGAAAATTGAAAATAAAATAGAAAAGCCCAGGCCCCACTCCAGAGATTCTGCCTCAGTAAGTGGAAAGTGGACCTAAGCCTTTGTATTTTTGAAAAACTCTCCAGGTTGTCCCACAGCTCAGATTTAAGGATTATTAGCTTGTGATATTTCTCTCCTGGAGGTATTTTCACTATAACAGGGGTGTCTTGAAGATGTCTGAAATATTCAAGTCCCTAGTGAATCTGAGATGGTGAAATTTCTGATGCAGGTGGTCAAAGAAGTAACTTTGGGGATTTCATCCCCTGAATGGTTCCACTGGGGCTCCACCTACTTTTCAGACTTGGCAGTGACCTTGGCTTTGCAAAGGGAAGTGTTGCCATTGCATGGGAGTTACTACAAGGAAAGGAGCAGAACCTCAAATACCTAGGACAGATGGCAGCATCCTTAGGGAGGGATGAAGTGAAACACCAGACAGGCAGACCAGCAGGCCTGCTTTCAGGGCTCCCTGGTTGACTGTATAAACCACTCTCAACTGGTGTTCCGTATTCTTTTATGAGATGATCAGTTAGGTGTGGCCACAGAAGGAGACAGAGGAGAGGGTCAGGAAAAAATAAAGTTTGTTACATTCTCAGGTCCACGAAGTCATGGCACTCCATGCTGGGCCACATGGGAAAGCCACTGGGGTGGTCAGAAGGCAGAAGACAGGAGGGAGGGGAAGCTTTAGCCCAGAGCCTTTACTGGCATTTCCTTGGAAAAAGCAAGGTAGAGAAGGGTCAACAGTTTAGGACTGGCTACTTTGAAAAATTTCTGCAGGCTTTGGGCTCTCAGGGTGGTCCCTAGTTGCCTGGCACCTGGCCCTAGGATGATCGAGACAGAGGAATATTGCCTCCTACGGTGTATGGACCCAACAGAGGAAGCATGGCTCTGGATTGGTTAGTTTGCATGTCAAGCATGTGTTCCTGACTTGGGACCTTTTTTATATCTCTACAAATTGGCTAGCCTGGGGAGAGGCAGTCTCTCCCCAGCCAGGAAGGCTTTTGTTTTTAGTTTTTAAATTGAATTTTACTTACTTATTAAAAAATATTTTTATTGAAGTATAGTCAGTTTACAGTGTTGTGTCAATTTCTGGTGTACAGCACAGTACTTCAGTCACATAGGAACATACGTATATTCGTTTCATATTCTTTTTCACAACAAGTTACTATAAGATATTGAATATGGTTCCCTGTGCTATATAGTTTAAACTTGTTGTTTATCTATTTTATTTATATTAGTATCTGCAAATCTCCAACTCCCAATTTATCCCTTTCCGCCCCTTTCCCCCCTGGTTTGTTTTCTATGTCTGTGAGTCTGTTTCTGTTTTGTAAATAAGTTCATTTGTCTTTTTTTTAGATAGAAAGGTTTTTAAAAGATGTCAAACATCATAATAAGCAGAAAATCAAAAATATTTATGATACAACTGGTTTCCTGTCTGAGGGGCTTCATTATTATTATCATTATCATCATCATCATTATTTGTTGCCATATCCTGTGGGTTCAGCCTGTAGTGTTATATGTTGCTGAAGTTGTATAAAATCTAGAAAACCTAGACGATTTGCTAGTTTTCCTCTCCTCTCGAGCCATTAAAAAAAAAAAAATTAGCTATGGAAACTAACGGATGATAAGGAATGAGCCTGCAAGGAAATTGGCTATGAATTGTTTACCGACCCTCAAAGCTCCCCCAGACTTTCTGCACTGATCCTCCAGCCCTGACAGATAATCAGAGCTCTTCTGAGAAATTCCTTGCTTCATAAATTGGAGTACTTGAGTATCACACTGACAGGAACTCGATATTTTTCTCAGAAGGATTTGGTCAGTCTGAACCGGCTGTTCATTAGTAAATGGAGTAATGCCCAGGTAGCGATTACCAGCTGGTGTTTATCTCAACTATAGTGTGGCAGAGTCTTAGCTGTTCTTCCAAAATCTCTACTTCCCTTCTTCCTGGGCACATAACTGCCTAGTCATAGACTGGATTTCCCAAACAACTTTGCGGCCAGGCGTGGCCATGTGATTCAGTTGTCCCCAGTGATATCCGAGCAGACTGATGTAGGCCACTTCAGCCTAAGCTAGCTAATTGAAAGAAAACTGCTTGCCCAGGACTCCCGTACATTAAGCTGGAAGTACACATACCAGGGAGCTGGCTGCAGCATGTAGAAGAGGCTAATGCTCTGGGGAGCAGAACAATGAGATGGGACCCAGGGATGCCTGGGACCCTGAGGCATCTCCTGGAGTCGAGCCAAACTGCCAACCTGAGGTAGTCTCCTTGAGACTTTTATATAAGAAATAAACTTTTATTTTAGTTAAACCCTTGTACTGTGAATCTCTCTATTGTGGCTGGAGAGACTTTACCTAATTAATATACATAGTTTTAAGTTGCCACTTTTAATTTATTTTTCTAAAAGGAATTAAAGTTGTTACTGTAGAAACAAAGAATCTTAGAATGTAGAATAAAGTAAAGGTCATCTTGTCCAACTTCCCTCCCAGAAAGACGTCCCCTCTGCAATATCCCTTCAGGAGGTCACTTAAGGCTCTATGACTACCCTTGTGTGATGGGCCTTATACCACTTCACGAGGAAGGCCAGACAATGGGGCTGCTTTGTGTATAGTGTGGACGAAGAAAGAATGTAACGGACCACGTCAGTAAAAAAAGGATGTTATGGCCATCAGCCTCTGCAGCCACCCCCAAGTGTGCACTCTTAGGGGATTAAGGATGGAGAAAAACAGGATATTGGCCTTAAATATTAAGGTGCATGTGAAAGCAACAATTTCAGTAAGCCCAGATTCTTGCACCTTTTCAATACATGGAAAAGCACTAAATTTATTAACTTGAGATGTCTGATTTTTCTTTAATTAACAGTAATTTTTTTGATGTTCTGACTACTTTTTTTTTTTTTTTTGCAAAAACTCTTATATATCCTGGCTCTTCACTTACCTCTTCAGAGCAGCCCCTCAGAGCTATCTAAGAGGCTGTCTCCTGGGCTTAAGTCCTCAATAAGTCTGCCAAATAAAACATAGTTCTTAACTTTTAGGTTGTGCATTTTTTTCAGTCAACAGTACTTATATGCCAGCCCCCCTCCACCTGTAACCAATTATGTAGTGTGTTGCCACAAAACTAACTGGCCTCTAAAGCATCTAACCCCTCCTCCACCCAAATATGATTACATAACACCCATTCTAGAAGATGCTCCTCAAATAAAACATTTTGGAGCCAAATACATTTTGAAAATACTTACGCTATACCTCCCTCTGAAAAGTAACAGTATCTACTAATATTTTAAAGTGTAGAAAGGTGTGACTTAGTTTAATCCAGAGTTTATTAAACATATTTGGCCATAAACTACCCCTAGACACTTACTCTTTTGTTCCTGAACAATATCTGTCAATATCACATAAAACTGGTATGCTCTGTAAAACACATTTAGGAAATGCAGATCTAACCTGTGACCTGGCCTTAACTGGCACTATTTCCTAGACCACTGCGCAGGTCAGCCACAGACACACGGAATCTAACTCCACATTGAATAGAAAAATGTTGGAATTTGTTTATATTGCTTGATTATTGGATGATTGCCCACTCAGTAGTAAACGGGAAATGTTTTTATTTGAGAGTATATCAAGAACTCCAGAGACAGAGAAAATACACACCCCAAATAAAATCCTCACCTAACAAACCATAAACACGTAACTAAACTCTTCCTTCCTATAACCGCCTTTTGCAGGGCTTACTTAATGGACAATCAGGTCTTCACTAATAAGAAAATCTGATTTTTCTTTTGTTTAACCTCAGCTTGGTTTAGTAAAGAGCATGGGTTCTAGAGTCAAACAGAGCTAGATTTGAGTTGCACTATCTTTGTGATTTTGGAAAATTTATTTATTCTCATTGAGCCTCAATTTCCTTTTTATAAAGTAGGAATAAAAATACATTTTTATATTTGCAGAGATTAAGTAAGATAATGCCAGCAAAGCCCCAAGCTAAGTACCTAGCATGCAAGATTACTACTGAAAAAGTATAGTCTTTTCAATAAATAATACTAAGTTAATTGGATATTTAACTGGAAAAAATAAATATTGATTTCTACTTTGCACTATTCATTAAACCAATTCCAAGTTGATTGTGGACTTATATGTGAAGATAACATAGGAATGTAACACGGGAATATGCAAAGATATCTTTCATGGGATAACAAAAGCATTACTCACAAAGAAGATATTCATAAATTGGACTTATTAAAATTAAGAACTTTATCAAAAGAGATGAGAGTGAAAAAGCAAGCCTCAGAGGGTAATATTTGTAATAAATATATCTGATATGCCTGGCTATCAGATATTATATGTATATGTAATAACTCTTGTAAGTCAGAAAGAAAAGATAGCTATTACTCACCCTTCCTTCCTGAAAACAATGGACAAAAATTTTGAGCAGGCATTTCATTGAAGAGGATGCCCATGGTCAATAAATACGTGAAAATGGGCTCAACATTGTGAAGTAAATGCAAATTAAAGTCATGATAAGATGGGACTACAAACTCTCCAGAATGGCTAAAATTTTAAAAACCAACAGCACCAAGTGTTGGTAAAGATGTGCAGCAACTGGAATCTCATACATTACTAGTAAAAATATAAATTGGTATACTCCTTTAGAAAACTATTAAGCAACATCTACTAAAATTGAATATATGCATACTCTAATTCTACTGCTGGAATGAGCATTCCCACTGCTGGATATCTATCTAGCAGAAATGCATACATATGTCTTTTAAGATGTTGGATTCTGGTACAAAAATGTTCATTCAGGGATACTTATAATAGTCCCAAGCTGGAAGTGCCCTCAGTAGCATAATGGACAAAGAAGTTTTGGTATATTCATAAAATGGATACTCTATGTCAATGAAAATAACAAGTTACTGCTACAGGCAACATGGACAAATTTTACAAACTTAATGTTAAGCAAAAGAAGCCAGAAATGAAACAATTAGTGGGTGAGGGAGTTACTGATACCTGATTCAATTTCTTTAAAGTATCTGATTTATTCAGGTTTACTGTTTCTTCTTGTATGAATTTTTAATAATTTATGTTTCTAAAAATTATTGATATTTTCAACCTTATTGGCATAAAGTTAATTATAAGAATCTCTTAAGGTTTTTAAATGCCGTTGTAATTCCAATTTCCACCTGATTTCTCTCCTCCAAGAATTGATATTCCCCCTTCTGTCTTCCAGTGACATTATAAGTTTATTCCTCTTTTATCCCGTCAAAAGTTTTTTTTTTTGTCATATCAGGGAATTTGGAGAAGAAAAGAAGATAGACGTTTCCCCTTTTTAATCCAATATTCCCTCACCAAGCATCCTTTTTGGGGGATCTGCTATTTACTCTGTGTAAGACTATAAATAGTAGTATTTTAGTACTATTAATATATCCCCACTAAAAATTCTCTTTGAAAATAGTCACTGTTGGTTATTTATTTTGTTATTAAAGTTCTTATGAAGGAAACTAGTGGGCATTAGGGAAAGAAAATTCCTGTGAGATTTTTGTGATTGTCCAGATACTATTTATCAAGCAAATAGTTCCACGGGGTGTGCTTGTTATTTCACTCAAACTCACATCACTATGAGTAGCAGTCCGTATTTTCATTGTAAATAAAGCTGAAGAAAGAGAAGGGGTTCATGGACCGAGCCCTGTGACAAGCTAGCAGTTAGTGACAAGTACAAGTGCAGGGAAAAGTGCAGATTAGTCAAGGTGATAAACACAAAAGAAACCTGACAATCCCCTAGAGCTCCTATGACCTCTGCATGAAATTCAGAGGACATTTCTTCACAAATAAAGAGCCCGACCCACCTCAACAGCAACACTGGATCATAGTAACACGGCGGACAAATGCCTTCAAAATTCTGAGGAAGAGAATCACGTTCTGTCGAGGAATCTATACCTGGGGAAGCCATCAATCACCTGGGAGGGTAGAATAAAGACATTTCAGACATGCAGGGTCTCAAAAAATTTACCTCCCATGTACCTTTTCTTACAAATTTATTAGAGGAAATGTTCTGCCAAAGTTAGAGATTAAACCAAGAGAGAAGAAGATGTGGGATCCAGGCAACTGAAGACCCATTACAAGAGGGAGGGGCAGGGTATCCAAAGGAGAAGAGGCAATGGAGAGCACACAGAGACCAGCACACAGCTGGTCTTGAGAGCAGCTGGCCCAGACTGAAGCAGATTAAAAGTTTTGGGGAGATATGTCTTCAAGAAGATAAAATTTGTGCCACATCTAAAGGAATTTTAAAATAGAAGATGGACACAACTATAGGGCATTTGGGTTGGATTTGTAATTATTCATAGAAAATTAAGCAAAATAAAAACATGATAATTATTAACTTCAGGGAAAAGGAAACAGAAAGGAAAAGTAATCATAATATGCTTCATACCTCAACAGTGAATAATATTCATGTCATTAAATTAATACTGAATACGGATCTTAACAAAATTATGATACAACTTCACAGGGAAAAGAGAGGGTTGAGGAATGTGTATTTTGTGTTTTAGGCAATACCCAAAGCTGAAACAACATAATATTTAGAGATATTGAAGTAAATAACTAGCAGAATCAGTTAAAAATAAGTTTTAAAGTAACTGCCTTTGAGGAGGAGGAAAAAGAGGGCAGGTGAGAATGACTTTTTCATCACAAGTCTTGTCTATTTGACTGCAATGATAAATGTATTAAATTATGATAAAAATAGAAACAAAAAATGAAACTATGAAAGATTTGAATTTTCTGTGATCTTGGACAAGTAACTTAACATTTGTGGATATGATTTGTAAAATAAAGGGACAGAATAAGTAACCTTCCGTTTTGGATAATCTCTGGACTAATAAGGTCAAGTGTTAAGCTACCTAGCTCTAACTTGAAAACTCATATGATCCCAGGAAATGATGTCAAATTTTAGAATTGGATGGGCTAATGGCATCATGTAGTTGGATCCTTCAGTTTCCAAAGAGGAAACCCAGGGTAGCCAAGCAATTTGTTTACCGACACCAGCTCATTAGTGGCTGAGAACACACTGGACATGAGTATTCAGCTCTTGATCCAAATATTCTTATTTTACCACAGTGCCAGTGAGAGAGGCTTTGTAAAAGGAATATGTAAAAACCACATTGAACCATAAAAAAAAAAACCCAATTCTTAGGATATTATTTCCTGTGGTTAAACAGGAAAAGTGGTTTGATTGAACTTCTCCCATTAACCCGACCCACGTCCTTCTTGATAGACTTGTATGCCTAACTCTAATTGAAGCAAAGGTCAAAGGCAAGAAAGAAAGGCACGTTTTTAATACAGAGATGAATCTATCTTCCAAATACAGAGATTACAGCTGTGCCAGTTATATTGTGTGTCACCAAACCTTCCCTGAGGACATCAGTAATTTTCCAGACTTATGTCCACACCGAGTCTGCAGTTGAATCGATGCTGGGGTTATAACAGAGACGCAAAGTGAGCCCATAAAGCATGAGATGGTCTGCAAACAGTGCTACAGGTGACATTCTGCCCGGAGCACACTGTATGCTGCAAACCTCTTCCCTTCCCCCAGCCAATTTGCTGTGCTCGCCTGCATGCAAATGCAAGAGGGACATCTAAGAGCAGTTACTAAGGAGACAAAACAGGTGCTTCGTATGAGTCATCCTCTCTTTGGAGGGAATCTGGGTAAATTTTCTATGGTAGAAGCTTCAGTGATGATTAATTCACTTTTGACATCCATTTCAATGCACAAGAGCCGAGGAATTAATTTCAAATTAAACCTTACTTTTTTCTACAACACCGGCAGGTGAAAGCAGAAAATGACTCACTGCATTCTGGTGTGGGGTTACAGGAGAATCCCTGTGCTCTTAAGGAAGGAGTGAGAGAGGCAGAAGCTGCTGGGTGAATAGATGGCTCTGCCTCTGGGCTAAGGAAAAGCGTGGATGACGAATCAGTCCAGTAGAAAGAGCTGGAAAAAAGACCAGATGTTAAAATGCTCCTATCTCGTGCTAAGTCCTACAGGATAGCCAGTGTCATTCAGACAGTCAATCCTGATAAGTAAGATAAAGAATTTGGGGGAGAGAGGAGGAAACAAGAGGGAACACAGTTCAGATTTGACTTTTGTTCTGGGAGGCAGCAGCTTGGTAGAAACATCATGGGTTCATCAGTCAGACTGGTGGTGATTGCCATCCCAGTAATGCCACCTAAGAGTTCTGGGTCCTTAAAACTTTCTAAGCATCGATAGTAAGTTAACAATGCCTACTTCAAAGGTTGCTTGAGGACTTATGCATAGCAAACTCGTAAGAAACGTCGGGATTCCCTTCCCTTATCCCATGAGTTATAAACACAAATTTAGACAAAATCATAGAAACCCAGTGCTAGAAAGGGACATTGGGCCACACGGAACACTTTACGAAATTCTAAACCTCCTTAAAGAAATACAAAGTTTCTGCTTAAACATCTCTAGTAAGAGGGAATTTCCACATCCAAAAGTAAATCCTCATATCTTTTAATAATTATTTTAGAAAGTCTTTTTCCTATAATACTCAGCTTAAATACCTAGAGCCCCAGAGAATACACTAATCTAATCTCTTCCACGGGAAACTCAGTATTTATTTTCTTCTGATGTGATATGTTTCAAAACATGATATGCAGCCTTCTCCCATCATTCTGATTGCTGTTTCTCCAAGAGCTTGTAGCAGAGAATTGTGATTGAGCCACCAGAATTCACTCTCCCTTTCCTTTGTTACTCTAGAGTTACAGTCGGGTACATGGGGTGTCTAGCTGACCTACTTTCCCAGCCTGCCATGCAGTTAGGTATGGGAACACTGGGTGATAGTGGAATGGGAGTGGAAGAATGAGGGCCAGTTCTTGGCCAGCACCTTATGACAGTGGCTACGTCTTCTGCATGTCCTTTCTGTACACCTTCAGCTGTCACCTGGTCATAGCAGTGACCCTGTTTCAGCTCTGCAGTAGATGATAATACCCTGGTGGATGATGAAGCAATGATGATGGAAGGAACCTGGTTCCCTGAATGACCACATGGAACAGAGCCACTTACCATCTTAGAACACTCACCTGGGACTGTTACATAGGAGAGAAGCAAGCTTCTTTGTTCTTTAAGCAACTGAGTCAATAGATCTCATTGTATCAGCAGCCTAGATTGTATCCTAATTAAAACAGGTCCTCTTCAAGTGTTCCCGAGAAATGAGTGCAATAATCAGGTGGTGGTGTGGTTTCACTAGAGCAGAACACATATCTATTTTGCCAGATACTATTGTGTTTTATAAATAGAATTCAAGACTAACTATTCTTGTGTCATCACATCATATTGACTGTAAAATAAGCTAAAACCTTAAAGCTTTTTTTCCTGTATTGTTGCTAAACCACATAGCCTCCAACATATACTTGTGGAAGCAGTTTTCAAATGCAAATGAATTCCTCTTACTTATCATCCTTATTAAACCTCAATTTGATAGATAGAATCCATAAGTCCAGTTTGCCAACATCCTTTTGTTTTCTGTTTGTCATCCACTCTCTTGGTTACCCCTCTCAACTTCTAGTGCTCCATATTTTGGGGTGTCATGCCAGCTATAGCTTTCATGTAGTTTAATTTCATCTTTTGAATCTTGTGTTAAAGAATAAAATACCTTATATATTGTTTTCCCTGCTAAAATGAACCTAAAGTTCTCAGTGTGCAGCTTAACAGTATGATTATGATCCCCTACAGTGCAAGTAATATTTATAGGTTTACCCCCGATACTGGTGCAAAGCAACAAACAGTGCAGAAATGGCGGTGAGCATCCCTATGCTGGGAACTGTACTTAGCCCAGCAGTTCTCTTCCCTATCCTGCAGCAGGTGTCAGTACACTACCCTCAGGAGTGTGTACCGCTTGTCTCTAAATGGAAAAAGTGTCCAGCTCTTCTGCTTCTTGGCAGATGAGTTCCCTTTGTTCCTTTTCATTTGTAGACATACATCTGCAGACACAAACATATTAAAAAGTGTGTTACTGTTTTAATTATCTGTCATCTGTAAATAGACACAGCACTGTAGCAGACTAATTAAAAATTAACAACATGGCATCACTCTAAAGCTAAAAGCCAAATTTTAGCTTCTAGTAACTGTTTAAGATTACAGTTACAGAATAGAAATAGTTTGATTCTGATTAATTTAGTAGAATTGAGGGGGCTTATCATACTTGCTAGATATAGCTGGAATTAGAGCTTCAAATTGCCTTACATTTCTATATGTTTCTGTTGCCGAACATAACACCAGTACTGAATGAACCCGGGTGGGAGGCGAGTCTTGGACTGGGACCTGTTCAGAGGCCCCTGCTGTGTTCTGTGCTGCTGCAGTATCCCTGCTTCCCACACCTTGGCCCCCACCGTCCCCTCTTGAATCCCCAGGATTATTAGAAAATTTCCAGCCAGATGTGCCCAGTACTCCAATTCTATGCTGACGTAAGCCAGTCGTCTTTAGAAGGAAGGTGAGATACATACTTACAGGATCAGAAACACACCAAGACATCAAGGACATGATGGCCTGTAGTTTGAGTGCTGTTTGGAGTGAGCTCCGCATCCCCGACTTTGAGAAGTAGAACGAACTCCAGAAATCCTGGAGGAATTTGGTATGTGCTCACAAAACAAGAACCTCATCAACCATGCCGGGAGCAGTGCTGATGTTCTGGAGAGCCGACCTCTGAACACCTCTGAAGCTGTTATCCGTTAGAGTCTTCTGGTTTCTCTGCTTGCTTAGCCTCCGAGACATTTTAAAATTGATCAATAATTAATACTTTGGGAAGTTCATGCCATCTTAGTTCATGCCACCTCTCCCACATTTCTCTGCATAGCTTCTTCATGTGCTTTATTCTGTAGTCTGAATAAACTTGCATGGAAAATAGTAACTACCACTGAAGCTGCGTCTTTTCTCATTAGCCCAGCTTTTCTCCATCTTGTTTTTGCTCCCAGGTCCTTCACACTCCTCTGTCGACAGGGCAAACCCTCCACGGTTCCTTCTCAGCATGAAGAAAAACATTTCATCTTTAACAAGTTTTTCCTTTGGTTGCTGTATGTATCCAAGACCTAATCTGGTCCTCCTCCTATGTTCTCTGTCTTAATCAATGGCACTATTATGAGTTTTTAGCTCAGAGATGATTTTTTTCAGCCATGTCCAGGCTACCAGTAAGCCCATCAAAAGCACTCTTCATTTCTGTTAGTGTTTTTTATCTCTAGCTTTCCTTTTTGCATCTTTTGTAGGATTTCCATCTCTGCTTACATTGCCCATCTGTTCTTGCATGCTGTCTCCTTTCTCCGTCAGAGCCTTAGCATATTAATCAGAGTTGTTTTAAATTTCCTGTCTGATAATTCCAACATCCCTGCCATGTCTACTGCTGATGCTTGCTCTGTCTGTTCAAACTGTGTTTTTGGCTTGTAATTTTCCCTTGATGGGTGGACATGGTGTACCGGGTAAAAGAAGCTGTTGTAAATAAGCTCTAGTCATGTGGTGATGATGTGTGTGTGTGGCGGGGCCACGGGGGATGTTCTGCAGCCCTGGGATTAGGTCTCTGTCTTTCAGAGCCTGTACTTCTGGACTGTGAACTTCACAAGTGTTTTCTCAGTTTTTTTTCTTCCCCCTTGGGTGGGACAGGAAGGCGAGAGTGGACTGGAGCTGGGTATTTCCCTTCCCCCAGGTCAGTTAGGCTCTGATAAAACCCCAGCAGGGTAGGTCTGGTTAACTAGTCACCCCCGAGGGTAGGCTTTGTTAAGGATAGGGTGCGCTGGCGTGTTTCCCAACAGTCCCTTTCCTCCTCCTCCTGCTGGAAGCATGAGGGGATTTTTCTCTCTGATATTTACTGTGGGAATCTGGTCAAGCTCCTGGAGGTAAATCTCACAATATAGGGGGCCCCCCTGTGACTGGACTGGCCTGGGGTTTTGAACTCTCAGCGTTGTTTACACCATGCCTCCAGCAACTCAGCCCTCACACTTCAGGCTTTCCTGCCCTGCCGCTGGCTTCCACTCAGTTTCTGCTCAGGAGTCTCTGGTCCCATAAGCTGAACTCCCTGTCTTCTTTGTCTGTCTCTCCAGTCTTGGAGCAGGACTTTGTCCCCTGTCTTTCCTCTCTTCTGGATCCAAGAAGAGTTGTTGATTTTTTGGTCTTTTCAGCTTGTTCTTTGTTTTTAGGATGGAGTAGCAGATTCCAAGCTCCTTACAGGCAGAGCTGGAAACACAAAGTCCTCCTGTTATGAGTTTTCAATGAGTTTGGGAATCTGTCTAGCTGTGTGATTCAGACTGGAATCTCGCCCCGACGTCACTCGCTGAGTCTGTTGACCACTCATCTCTTAAATATCTCTTGACTCTGTTCGCTTCACTTCCTTTGTCGTCTCCACGCTGGTCCAAGCCACCTTCACTTCCTAACTGCTCTCACCACCCCCTGCGGACCTCCTGTAACTGTTCCACACACTGGAGACGGAGTGATATTTCCAGAACAAAAATCCCTATATTACTCACCCTCTTTCGAAACGCTGGTGGCTAAAAAACAGCGAGGCCTTGCCAACGGAAAGCCCCTAAGTGGACATAGAATTCCCAGGTTCCGCAACGAAGACACAGAAAAGTCTTAAATTTAATCCAGCAAGAGTTTCATCACTCAGGACTGGGACTTTAGGCCTGGATAATGTGGACTCCGGAGTGGGCAGAAGTGTTGCCTTACGTGAGCGGGCAAATAAACACTGGAAACCCTGTAGTTCAGGGCCTTTCACACTTAAAGGCTGGCCTGTCTAGTAGGCTGCGGGCCACAGCTGATACCCTGAGATGCGTGGGAAGCAGAGGTGGACCCGGGAGGTGTCTTTTGTCCATGTTCTTCTTCTGTCCCCCGGGATGCTTCAAAGAGCTTGTGAGAGGACTGATTGATGCCCAGACATTTCACATTCCCCATTTGCAAGCCCAGCCCTAGTCTGCTCATTCCAGGGCCTAAGAAACCTTTCAGTGACTTCCTGTGTTTCTTGTAAGTGTGGCCCTTGGCTGGGTTTTCAGGCTTCTGCCCTGCTTCCCCTCATTCTCTCTGTCCAGACACAGCCACTTTCCAGTTCTTGTATTTGCCACCAACACTCCCTCCCACCCCAGAGCACTTCTCTTAGCCTGGGGTGCTCTTTTCTGCTCTTCTTAGCCGAGTCTTCATAATCTCCACTCAGGTACCATTTCTTCAGAGAAGACGTTCCTGACCTGTCTAGCTGACCAAATCCAATGAATGTAGGTTTTTATAGCATTTTGTATCTCTTCCTAACATTGATCACCATTGCAGTTTCATATCTGTGTAATTATCTGAGCAGTATCTCTTGCTCCAGGAAAGCAGGGACAATGCCTTATTTTACTTACTCTTGTCTGCCCTGTGCCTAGCCTGGTGCTTGGCCGTGGTAGGCACTCAATAAACATTATGAGGGAATGAATGTGTGCTCTGGTATTGGTTATAAAGAGGAATCATTGCATAACTGACGCTTTCTTTTCGGATGGGGTTTGGCAGTTCGTCAGCAAGTATTTATTAAGCTTGTATGAGGCAGAGAGTATTGCTGTTTGTTTTTACATTTTTAAATAGCCCATCCCATGGTATGTGAAATACAAATACTGTGCTGTGAGTCTAAGATAAATACGGTATGAAAAAGAGACTGATTGTCTTCATCTTCCTTATAAAATATGCCAAAGTAAGATCGGTAACCAGAGACCAACAAGCAAGGAATGAAATCACTTTCAAAAATCACACAGAAGACAAGTTAGTGATGGAACTCAGAAAGATGGAAGGAAAGTTGTCAACCACTTCCTCTTCCTTCAGCCACTTTGTGCGTTTTTGTTAAGAATTTCTCTGTTCTAGACAAGTGCAGTCTGACCTGGTGACTCACCACAGGTAGGATGGAGTAAGCGTTACATAATACATCCCAGGAAGCTGGTGTAAGCCGGTGTAAGTTTCTGTCTCCAGGAGAGGAGAGAAGCCATTCTGCATGAAGGCTCTGGAGGGGGTTGACGTCTGCAGGCCTGTGGCCCAGGATGAAGGGAGCAAGAGTCTTATCCCCCTTCCACTGACGGATGCTGGTTTAGAGACATGCCCTGTTTTCACCACTCATCTGTGTGGACTGCATTTCCTTAACCAAGAGGTTGTGTAATAGGAAAAGTGATTCAGGGGGAATTTAAAGTAGCAGGCTTGTTTACCAAATGTTAACTTTGAGCACCAAGTCACTGATGTGTGCCATGTGCAACAACAGGATTTTGTTGGCCATGGCAGCTACTGTGCAGACTACCCTCCGGGAGGGCTCCGGGAAGAGAGGTCTGGCTGCTGCAGAAGAGCCAGGAATGAAATGCTGAGACTGAAGCCCTCCCCGACGGGCAGTGGAGCAACAGTGAAGTAAGGACTCCCTTTGTAAATATCTGATGCCTTTTGAATGGTATGTTTGTCTTACTGGAGAAATACCATGCATCTTAACAGCATTTTGGTGGAGAACATGCTGTTTTGTTGACTGTTAAACCAGAAGCTTAAGAAAAC